CCAATAAGTTATTGTTTGAAGAATTGTTTAATTCATATTTTTAGTATCAAATTGATGAAATTGATTCGATTCAAACAAAAATAATTTGGTTAAAGGAACAAAAATACACTAAAGTTAGGATTTTTTTTAATTGGTAAGTTTTGACTTAATCATTTAAATAGTTTACATTAATAAAAACTTAATTGTAAGTTCGAATTTAATGTTCATGATCGAAATGTGGAGGTTTTCCCTCACGTGTTGGCTTTTTGACCCTTAATCTCGGTTAATTAATTTAATTAATTAATGTTTTGATGATAACAAACACACTTAGTATTAAATTTTTTTGGTGTGTAAGAATTATTGTTATAAAACATAAATTTATTATGAGTTTCAATAATATTATATGATTTACATGATAATACATATTTTGTTTATTGATAATTTTAATGTTTTAAAGTGTCTACAGCGTAGAGCTCGATACGATGATTTCAATGAATTTTAAATTACACAAATCGGAGCTCAAACGAAGAAATTATGATCGAAAGAAGTTGAAAGGAAAAATATCGAGAGGATGACGTGGCGACTAAATCAATTAAGTGGACCGATGAAATAGAGACACGTGGCGAGATGTATTTACTGAAATTTGTTTTAGTTTAATAAAAAAGATGGAAAAGAAAAAGATCGAGGAAAAAGAAAAGAATGAAATGAAATTAGAAAAAAAGAAAGAGAAAGAGCCTGTTTGAAAAAAGAAAAAAAAAACCGACAGGAGATGACAGGAAAAGAAAGAAAAAGAAATGGCGTCGAAAAATATATTTATTAAAAATATATAAATTTATTATTATTATTTTATTATAATATATTTTCAAAATCAATTATTATTTTATTCAATTAAATCTCAAGTTTTGATTTTCAATCATTAAAGATCTAATAGCCCAAATTCAAATTCAATTTCGATTTCAAATTTATTTTCAACTTTTCCTCACCTATTTAAACCCCACTTCCTTCAACATTTCATACAACTCATTTTCTCCCAATTTTCTCTCCAAATTTCTACATTGTCAATCTCTCTTCAAAGCTTCAATTTTTGTTCTATATTCTGAAGGGAGATTTTTTATTTGAGAGATATTTGAGCTTTCAATTTTATTTCTTTTAGCCAATTTGAGGGCTTTTATTTGTAAGAATTTTTTCTTACAAATTTGTGAGCAAATATTTGTATACCCACTCTTTGAGAGAGTTTGTAAGTTTATTCTCAAATTTTCATATCCTTTGTAAGTGTTGCTCTTGAGCCCGAAAAAGAGCGTTGTAACGGTTTGATCCTGAACCGTGGAAAGGATCGAGTTTCTTCTTGCTCCCGAGAAAAAAGAATGTTTTATTCCGGTTTGACTACTACCGTGGAAAGAGTCAAAGTTTCTTAATCGAATACCCAAGAGGCGCTTGGGGAGTGGAGTAGGCCGGTTGTTGCCGAACCACTATAAAATTTCCGGTGTCATTTTTTCTAACCCTACTCTATTTAATTTTTGCAATTAATTTTCTTTATTACAAATTGCATAAAATTAATTGTTCGAATTTGTTATTCATATTTATGCTCAATGTTTATATTTGAATTATGTGGGTGGTGACATTAATTAGGATGTTTGTATTTCTAATTTATTGTTTAAATTGTGATAAAATTAATTGTTTCTAAAAAGTTTTCTTATTTGCTTAAATTTGGGCCCACCGTAGTAAAAAATTTGTAAAGTTTAATTAAACCTATTCACCCCCTCTTGTCATACCGATCTAACAATTAAAAGAGAAAGGAATAAAATGACAGATACTCTAGCTATTCTCGCTACTCGGCTCGAAATCTCAAGAGGGTGGAGCCCCCTTTCGTTGTGGGTTTCCTATTTAATTTTTCTTTTCTATTTATGGTGTAAAAAGAAAAAAGATTTTTTTTTTTTTGGAAAAATTTTCTATTATTATTTTTTTTTTTTTGTAAAAATTAGTAGTTGAAATTAATAGAAATTGAACAAATAGATTATAATTATCAAAGTTTAGGATCTACTTTGAAGAAATTAAAAATTTCTGAATTCTCGGTTAGAAAGAAATTTAGAGTAAATATTGATGGAAAGGTTAGGGACAAAAATTAATGGTTTCCATAATTTCTTTGAGGATTTGTATACAAATATAAATTAATGGAACCGATGCTTCTTTTTCTTTTTTTAAATATTTTCAGCATCGTAATTGTATACAAACAAGTTGGGTAAATGGTACATAAAAGCCAGTATTTCATAAATGTATTTAAGGAATACTTTTTGTTACCAAAATACCTGATTTATATTTCTTAATATTTTAATTTATATTTTTTTTTCTAATAATTTAATAGTATTTAAGATTAATATATTTATTGTCAAAATTTTTACATACCTTCTTTTAAATCCTTTGTCGAGCTCACCAATGCTTAAACACGAAGTAGTAAGACTTGTTGAAGTTTCCGAACTCTTGATATGGTAATCGAACCATGAGGCATGACAAAGGAAGCTTCTTGGTTCATATCGTAATTATTTCCTTAAATATTTTACTAACCATGTTCTTTCCATTTCTAGGACATTTATTTTAGGATTTCAATTTATCATTTTTTATATTTATTTAAGGTAAATATTAACACTTATTAGTAAATGATTATTTTTTAAAAAATAAATTCATATTATTTAAACAAAATTAAACAATTTACCGTCCCATAATGGTATATTGACACACAAAATTCTCTATTACCTATTTTCTTTTCATTTCTTTTGCGGGTAAATATCATTTGTTTGATTTTATATTTTATACATCTTTTCTTCGCCAAAAATCATTATCGTTCATTCATTTTGGGCAAAAATAATCACTTGAATTATTTATTATTTATTATCATTATTTTAATCATTGTCGGTAATTGTCATTGACGTTATTTTGTAGTTGAAATTTATTGGTCTATATCCCATATATTTGATATATAGCTGTAAATATTCCATTATAATGAAATAATTTGTATATATCTTTGAGATCATTATGATGCACATAGTACGGTATAATAATTATACATTTGAGATTAGTATGGTGCATATGATATAATTTGTATATACTTCTGAAGAATGATGCACATAGTATAATTTGTATATACCAACATAATGCATGTGATATAATTTATATTTCATGATGTATGATCCACGTGGTACAATAGTAATACACTCAGTAATGACAAGTATATAACATGTATACTAAAATAAGTATACATATTATAATATTTCGTAATATTACTTATTAATCATATACGAATATTTGATATATACCTAAAATACATGCCAATAACTGGATTCGCTGCCATACGTGCCCCAACAACAATAACTGAAATAACTGAAAGTTCAAATCATTAATTAATAAAGGTAAATATTTGCATTAAATATTTTTCCTTTTAGAATATTCTTTGATTGGTTTATTAAAAATATCTTATCAAGGGCATGATCAGATCTAAGGCATGATCGGATCTAGAGTAGGGTCCACATCCTATCAAGTCCCGATTGACCAGGTCTCCATTGACCGGATCCTGGTTGATAAGGTTCGACGAACCAGGTCCGACTACTAAAAAGTCTACATTTATGACTTAACTGAATGAATATACTCTCAAGGTAGTAATAACATTACTAATGAATCACAACCTAGAATCTAAAAGTTCAAATTTTTTTAATAAATTAAGTTCCTACTTCATGTTTAGTATAAGCATAGCCTAGTGGTTAATCTACTTATCTTTTCCTATATAAACATAACTTAGTGGTTAATCCGCTTATCCTATTTCATTGACATTCTTATTCTTAAGAAGATGATGTAGCTGTATAAACCAATTAAATTATTTAAATACGGTACTCCTATAGTCCTATGAAGATGAAAAAAAAAGTGGTTTGAGTTCTTTTCATCCTCCTTGCAAAAGTGTTCAAGGATCATGTAAATAGGTTAATGTCTTATTTTTAAATAGAAGATTATTAGAATTTATCTGGAAGGTATTTGTAAATGTGAATTCAGAGATCACATATAATTTTAAGCTAATAATGTAAGATTGATACTCAGTAATAAATAAATTACTCAGTGGTAATTGACATCATCTCCAACTAAGAGGTAAATTGCAAAGTGGTAATTGACATCATCTCCAACTGAGAGGTTGTGAGTTTGATTTCCCACCCCAACATGTTGTAAAATTATATGAAGTGGTTCGATACATTCTTTTTACTCAATTCCAAAAATGTCCTCACAAATATTTATATAATTTACAAATTCATCTAATATAATATATTTATTTGAATTAATTTAATATTTTTAATTTTTATATGTTATTTAGTAAAACGAATGAACTTGAGTTTAAACTCTACTTTAACTTCTGCTCTTTTAAATGAATTATTAGTTCATTTAATGAAACTCTTCCCTTAAAGTTCTATTTGCCAAATATTGAGTAGAAAAGTTTCATTTCTCTTTTAAACATGAGAAAGTAAAACTAGTCGAAACTTCTTGGCTCTTGATATTGTTAACAGGACCTTTAAACACGACAATGAATGTTCCTTGATTCGCATAACTTATCAAAATTATTAATAAAGTAACAGAAAAATATTAGATAACCTGGTTTTAACGATATATTATTATTATGATCTAAAGAAAATGGTAATATTAAAAAAGCACTAATAACCTTAAAAGTTCTCCCAAAGTAACAACAGTATATTTGAATTTGTAAAACGACATGTTATAGTCACTCAACATCAACTAATTAAGATATATATCATCAACCAAGAGAATGAAGGTTTGAATCATCCCAAAATAGAATTAGACATATTAGTAAAAAGTTGGAATCTTCTATTTTGGCAAATAGGATTACTACTTTATTTTCTACATTTAAAGTCAATTTTTTATTTAATTTAACAGCATTTACTTATAGACTATGGTAGCCTCTAAGTACAACAAAATATTGGAACAAAGCAACCAAAATAAAAGTTTTTTTCTTCTTCTTCTTCTTCTTCTTCTTCTAATACAACGTAAAAGCCCTAATTTTTCAAACACTTGGTCACAACTTCTCCAATTTTACCTCCATTAATGGCGTCCACAACTTTCTCTATATCTTCTCCAGGGCTCACCCTCTTCGCCCCACTGAGCAGCTGAGTCCCCACTTCCGTCCTCACGAAATGATAGATCGGGTAAGTACTGCATTTCTTGATTCTGTTTTCCACTGCGAAATCCCCGTTCTCAAATCTCCCTCTCGCGCTTTCCACCTCTTCTTCCAATTTCGCCTTCAATTCCTCCAAAAACCCCGGGATTCGCCTGAAGATGGTGACGCCTGTTTCATTTCCATGCTCGCCCTTGTCCGCTGAGGCGCCTTTCAGCGCTCTTTCGACAAGAACTTCCAGCAATTTGGGGATTAGGGCGTAGGAGGTGTTCGTGGGATCGTCGATGTAGGAGAACACCGCCTCGTGCTCGATTACTTGCAGAAGATCTTTCTCGCAGAATCGCGATTCGAGAAGGGATCCATCTTCGGCGACGTATAGGGTTTTTCTGACGGCTTGTAGAAGAGCATTCTTCACGACTTCCCTCATATTCTCCTCGTGTTGTCTCAAATCTATCGCCTGGCAGAGCGCCACCATGTAGGTAGCGGACATGAGCTTGAGAATCTCGATCGCTTCGGCGGATTTTCTGGCTGAGATTAAACCTAGAGAGTTTACATCCTGATTGTGTTGTTCTGCGCTCTGGACGTGGGTCGTGACAGGGTTTGCCAAGTATTGAAGCTCAGAGCAGTAAGCAGCCATGGCGATTTCCGCTCCTTTAAAGCCGTAGTCCAAGCTTGGATTTGGCCCGCCGCTCAAATTAGACGGCAATCCATTATTGTAATGATCGCAGACGAGTTCAGAGAATTGGGCGAACATTAATTTTCCGATTGCAGCGATGGCGATCCGGAGATTGTCCATGGAGACACCGATTGGGGTCCCCTGGAAGTTTCCTCCGTGGAGAGCGAGGTCCCGATGGACATCAATTAAAGGATTATCGTTTACGGAGTTGATTTCCCTTTCAATCGAATGGGTTGCCGTTCGAATGACTTCAATTTGTGGGCCAAGCCATTGGGGGGAAGTTCGAAGTGCATAGCGATCTTGTTTTGGCTTTGTCAGTGGGTCCTTTTCATGTCGGGTTTTTGCTTCTTTCATGAAGTCGCTCTGATCCAAGAGGAACTCCATGGCGGCGGCGGATTCAATCTGGCCAGGGTGGTGCTTGAGCTTATGGGTTAGTGGGTCTGCAAATTCCGGCTTGCCGAGCATGGCTTCGCAGAACATAGCAGAGAGAACGACGGCTAATAGAGCCAAAATGTTGGCGTCGAAGCAGACTGTGGCAGCGACTGCGGACCCAACCGCGGTTCCATTGACGAGAGCTAAACCTTCCTTTGCTTGAAGCTCAAATGGGCCTGCAACTCCAGCTCTCTTCAGAGCTTGCATGGCGGTTACCTCTTCGCCTTCAATTGTGGTGACCTTGGAATTATGCCTTCCGGTGATAACGCCAGCGATATAAGACAGTGGAACCAGATCGCCGGAAGCTGTGATTGTACCTCTCAAAGGCAATTTGGGGATCAAATTCTCATTCATGAGCTTCACCACAGCTTCAAGGATTTCCCAGCGAATGCCCGAGTAGCCTTGCATCAAAGTGTTTGTTCTAACAAGCATGGCCGCCTTTGAGTAGATCGACGGGAGATTGTCCTTTCCGATGACTCCAGCGTTGAGGAATCGAATAAGCTCCGTCTGGAGGTCGGCCGTTTTGGTGGTACGCCGGTGGGAGGTGGCGCCAAAGCCGGTAGTAACTCCATATGTGTCTGTTCCCCGAGAGATGTTTTCAGCAACCCAGTTAGCACTTTTGGCCACACGATCACGAGCCACGGCTTCATTGAGGTTAACTTTGACGTCACTCCGGCGAGCAATCGCGGTGACCTGAGCAACAGTGAGGGTGGTGCCTTCAATGTCAACAGTCTTAGCCTCCTGAAACTCCGACACCATTCGTCGGACCTCCTCAAAATGGGGGCAACGGAGGGCGTCGGCAGCCTTGACCCAATGATCGGAGGCTGAAACAGAGGGGAAAGATTTAGATTGATGAATGGAATCGGCTCCTGAGAGAGCTGAGGAGCAGAAAAATTCACGGGTGGCCATTGGAGGAAGAAGAACCAGTAAAGAAGATCTCGAGTCACTGAGAGAGAATGCACGAGGTCAGATTCTTGGATGAGTTGTGGGAGTTGGGGAAAGAAATGGGCATGAAATTTATAGCAAAATTTGATGGTTATTTCTTACTTTTAGTGGAAGTTGAAGATGAAGTTGCAAGGAAAGTTACATGAATCAGAAGCTTCTTAGTTTTTCATGGGCAAATGAGGATTTGACTAAGGTGACCACTTTTGGATTTTGTTTATTACCAAGAAAAATACTGGTAAAAGTTTTTGTTTTAAAAATCCAATCAAAGAATAGCTTATTCTACGTGGTTTGAATCTCTTCCTCACGTGTGAGATATATAAAAGAAAAAGTTAAATTTATGATATGGTTTATGATTTTGAAGTTTGGAACTCAAACCTTTTAATTTCTAGTTACAAGCTTGATTAAGATATATATCTCCTTCTATGATTTGAGAATGATACCTGATAATGATGTTGCGAACTCGAATATTTACTCAGGTTGTCACTTTTCAATGTTAGAGTTAATCCAATTGTTTGGTTTAACTATTTAGTAATTTGTCTTGTCAAGATCAATTTAATAAAGTTTTGAAATGAGAAGGAACTGTTTTTTGTTTTTTTCCCTCCGAGATTATCCTAAAGTTTGAACTCATTCTCTCTTTAACTAATCTTAGTTTCTTTAGATCAATAATCGAAGAGATTGTTTTTATGTCTTTTGACACAAATAAAATAAATAAAATTGAATAGTTAGTTTCAAATAACTTTTTTTTAAAAATTGTTTATGAATGGAATATTTCTTGTTTAGAAAAAATGTCACGGCGTTTTTCATAAAAGCATTTGGGCGTTTTTAGAATTTACAAAGACTATGAAAATTTACATCTTTTTCATCTCATAAATAATTTCAATTTTCAAACTTTCTTATTAGCACATTTCAATTTCAGCTTTAATCAAGAAAAAGAAAAACAATTTCAACTCCTTAATATGATGCTCCAATTGTGAAATATGTGTTCCTCTGAATTTTTAGTTAGTGTTCAAATTTTGATATTCCGACTTTTGGAAGTAGAAGGGTTTAGATGAGGGAAAAAAAAACAATATAGCCTCAATTATTAAAAGACCTTACAACCTTTATCATTTTTGTTAGATTTTATTTTCTGCATTGAGTTTATTTGGTATCTAATTTAGGTTTATTTGGTAGCTAATTTAGGATTACTTCATCTAATTGTGACTTAGAGTTTATGATAGGCCAAAATATATTTGTTGGGGGCAAAATATGACCTACCATGTGGCAAGATCATCTACGGGTGACCTCATCTATGGGCTCCCCTCCTTTCTTCTACATTTACTATTCATTTCATTTCCAAAACCATAAAATATTTTCTTTTTCAGGTACACATTTACTTGATTGGCTTTCACACTTTAACAAATTTTTTATATTTTATATTTTACTTTTTCAAGTCCTTGGTGGGACCCACCCCATTGAAAAACCAAGCCCCTATGCATAGGCAGGTCCCAATAGGCTTTCTCGGCAGATATGTGATAACCTAAACAAATCAACCAACCATCTTGTTTACTGTTTTTCATATGTAAATTTAAAAACATATTACTGTTTTCAAAATCTCTTTTTTTTTTCCTTCTATACTTTTAACTTTTTTTTCTATAACATATTATCACTAACTAATTCTTTTATCAATCTAAATATTTTTTTCCTTAAATTATTTTTTTCTCTAAAATTTTCATATTTTTAATATTTAGGTTATATTTTACGTTTTTTTTCTTTTGTTAGGATAGATCACCCTCATTTGACTCTCTAAAATTTTTAATATTTTTCGAATTTTTCTCTCTCTAAAATTTTATCTTTTATTACTTTTCTTTTTCTTCCTATTCTAATCTATTTTTCCTCTGAATATTTTATTTTCTCATGCAATTTTCTTTCATTATAACTTTTATTTATTTTCTCTAAAAAAATATATTTTGAATATTATTTTTATCTTTAAATTCTATAATTTTCTTATTTTTTTTATTTAACATATATTTTCCTCTCTAACTTTATTTTTTAATAAAATTTTTCTCTTTTTGTCTTTAACTTTTATTTGACTATTTTTTTTCTAAATATTTTTCTCTATCTCTCTAAAATTACTATTTAAAAAGTTTATTTCCATTTATGTAAACTTATATTTTCACGTCTCTAAATCATAGATCAATAAATTTTTGCAAGCTCGGGTGGCCGCTCCAAAAATAGTAAATGCATGTCTCAACCTCATTCCAGTTTCATTTTTAAATAATTAATATATATTTTATTAACATATTTTCTAAATTGTAATAAAATATTAAATATTTTTTAAAATTAATTATTTATAGGAGTGAATAATAATTCTAAAAGTAATTAATATATATTTATTACACTTTTTATTTTTAAATTATAAAAATAATTAAAATTAATTATAAAACCAGTAATTTTTCTGGTGAATTCTCATCCCTAAATAAGGATTCTTTAATATGGATCTTGATTCTTGAACCGAGAAACGAAGTAAAGATGGTGGACTAAAAATTTTCACCACCACGAGAATGGGACAATGCATCTTTACTCTCGTCCCCACATCATTGTCATCTTTAATCTACCTATAATTTTCTCTCTTTAATATATATTTCAAATTTCTAACTTTTAAAAAATATAAAACTAAAAATAATTACCAAATATGTTTGGTTTTCTGTTTTAAAAAAACAAAAAACAAAATATATAGTTTTATTTTTTAAAAGCAGAAAAATAAAAAGAGAAAAATCAAAAATCAAAAACAAAAATGGTTGGACCAAAGAAATTTGATATTTTTTACTCTAACAAAAAGAAGAAAAATAAATTGGATGTTTATATGGTCACATTTGAAATTTCCATCGTGTTTCTTCCTATGAAGACAATTTCATGGAAAGAAATCCTTACAATTTCTCTGCAGTTTCAAACTGAATAGTGACTACCCATGAAATCCTTTTTGGTTGACTACAGAGGCCACATATAATAATTTCTTTGTTTCATTAAATTAGGCTATTTTAAAGTAGATAGAAATTTCGTTTCAATTTTGTTCATTTAATAACGAATAAAACTTGATTTTACATGCTTAAGTAAGAATTCTCATTTAGCCAAAACATTTATTTTATAGTACTTCTATTTCATTACCTTTTGTTTATTAGGTCTTTTATCATTAGTGGGTTACGATATCAATAAAATACCATAAACTTTAGGGGCACTTTAGTAAAATAAGCAAAATAACAACCACATTTCTTTTTTTCAAATATAGCATTTTTTTTCTTCAAAAAAAACGGAGGTCTAATTATAAAATTAGAAATTCACCCTATATCATTATTATATATATCAGTACAATTGATTTACTTCTGGTATAACCATAATATCTACTCAACTTTTAACATGTTTTACCACTAATGTACGTATGATAACCATTGATTTACCATGCTGATACAACACATATATATGTGATATGTAACTAATTTATCAGTGATATACAAATGATATACCACTAATATAACTTCTTATATAATTATATGATTTACCACTAATATAATACTGATATATATTTCATATATACTTAATATGCTTCTAATTTACCACTTATATACCTTTGATATAATCATTATATCTATTAATATAACTATGATACATGTTTGTTGATATAATACAATTATATCCAATATTTTTTTCAAATGAAAACAATGGTGCAAAATTTTTTATTTTTTATTTTTAGTTATTATATAAAAGGTTTACGTGGACCATGCACGTCCAAAAAGACAAGTTAAAATTTTGATATACTTTATAAATTTAAACCGTAGATATTCCTTATATTTAGTATCTAATTAATATTAATATTGAATAAATAGTAGTAGAGATATAGTCATCAACATTATTGATAATATTAGTATATTAATCAACAAATTGAAATGGTAAACTAGAATTTAAACAGTTGATATACCACTAAAAATTAAACATTGGATATACCTTATATTTAGTATATCAGTTGCAAATATATTTAGTATATCATAAATTAGAAATACATTATATATATGTATAATACATACAATTGACGTACATCAGTGGTATATCTGATGATGTATATCATAGGTACATCAGATACTGTATATTAAGGGTACATCGAATGTATATCAGAAGTATATCAGAATTACATCGGATGTACATTAGATATAGATGAGATGTATATCATATACAAATTTACATCAGATTTATATCATATATAGATTTGATGTATGATATACATCAAATGTATATCAGATATAAATTATATGTATATTAGATATCGATATACATCAGATGTATATCATATATCATGAGGGTAAAATTGGAATAATAAAAATTCCGAAAATTCAAATTCAAATATTTTGCTATATTTAAAATTTTAAAAAGTTAGTGGCATTTTTTGAAATACATGAAATATTTTTGCTACCTGCTATAATTACCCTAAACTTGAAGAAAACATTTTTATGGAATTCAAAAGTAAATTCATATGAATTTGACTCCAAAATAGACAATTGGTACCTAAAATAGGCAAAGATAAGTGGCGTTGTTGAGAATAGTTCATAAACCACAAGAGCAGGGAGATGTTTGACTTACGATTTTAATTAGCTTAGTTTAGGATCGTGAAACATGACTTTTGTATCATCTATGTTTGTAAATGTAGATAGAAAAATAGATTATTGATATAATATGTATTTAGTTTGGCGATTTATGATTTGTAAAAGTTATACTTAAAAAGAAATAATGTTTTTCCTTTTAAACCTTTTAGTTCAACATCTGGATGAAAGGATTTGAACATCTGATCTTTTCGTTATATATATTTTAACCTATTGACCTATCTTTCATATTGATCCTATGAATTTTTATATAGCGATTAATAATCTCAACTTATAATTATGGTTTTAAATATCCGTCGACACATTGATATTTTCATCAACATATCTATTTTGTCATAGGTTCGACATCTACATGAGGAGTAAATTGACATTTCTATTATAGTACGAGAAAATTGATAAAATATAAAAAATATCAACAAAATGTCACTAATATATACACAATATTAATATTAATTATTTTTAACTAATTTAGAAATAGGAAAATGTTTATTTGTTAATTTAAATATCTTTTACGATTTTTTTTTTAATTTTTCTAACTTTTACAGAAATATCCATTGACATCAATATTTTATCGATATTTCTATGAAATTGAGATCTCGACATTTGTATCGACATCGACGTTTAAAACCTTAATAAACAAATTCACATGACAAAAATAGATTATGACTTCTTTTAACTTTAAATCAAACAAGCATAACCTCTTGAACCAAATACCCTTGAACACTTTACTATTATTATTATTATTATCAAAAAGTGATTTTTTTCCTTTTTCAAAAGTGTCATACTCTAAACCCATTTCTAACCTTGTAGCAGTGAGGCACGGCAGCGACTTAATTATAGATAGACAAAATTCTCAAATTGGCAAACAAATCATAGTGAAGAAAAGGAAAAACAAATTCACTGAAATGTTCTTATTGGGATCTTTTACACTTCAATTTGAAACTTGCCTTCTTTATCGAGATTATTGATTGTTGGCGTAACCTCCTACATCTACATTTGTAACTACAGGATGGGCACTTATAGTTGTGAATTTGTGTGGATTGATCAGGAGTGATTTTTACGCATTGGCCATGAAACCAAGTGTCGCAAAAGTCGCAACAAATCCAAAACTCTTTCTGGTTTGGGTTAGGTTTCTTGTCACAACTCCCACATATCTCATTATCTTCCTCTTTGGTTTCCATTGCCCTCGCCATGGTCTTGGGAGGCTTTCTAGACTTGTATCTTCTAGTTATGGTCTCCAGTATTGTGGGAATGTCGTTTATCATACCAAACAAGCATTGCCTGCACCAACTTCTAAAATTTTTTAGAACATATCTTTGTTCAAGTAGACTGGATTTAGAATGTTTTCTTTGGTAGAAAAATGGATTTAGATTAGGCTTGGAGTTGGGAAGGAAGTTAGAATTGAGTTAGGGATGAACTAAACCAAAATTTTAATAAGAATCACAGTGCCAAAATTAAGATTTAAGGACAAAAATAGAAATAAATAAAACTTCAAAGATCAAAAAAGAGAAAAAAGGCGAATCAACAAAAATTGAAGCAGAGAATGGAGAAATTGAGTACCTCTGAACTCTGTCGAAATAACAGGCACCGTTGTAGAAGGCCAGAGAGAGCAACCAAGCATCGCTAAGAGCAGCTACAAGGAACAACCAGTCCTTTAATTGAGTCCGATCATCTCTCGCGAAGTTAATTCCTGATGCAGGCTCTGGCCTCGGATTCGTCGCTGCCTTCGTAGACGCACTCCGTACTCTCCATTCTCCGTCGGGAAGTCCGTACAGGCAAACTTCATCTTCTTCCTCTGAACCTCATCAGGTAGCCAATGTCAGAAACAGACGCAAAATCTTGAGAGATAGGGCCGAGAGAGGGAGAACTGACCGAGATCGCACTGCCGAACGAATTCTTCAACATCTGCGAAGAATGGCGATCGATCAAGAGATTAGGGCTCCGGAAATCTTCGTGGAAATTAAAGAGAATTAAAGAAATAAAATAAGCGAATTCTTCGGCATCTGCGAAGAATGGTGATGGATCGAGAGAGATGAAGTCTAAATCGAAATTAGGGCTCCGAAACTCGTCGTGGAAATTAAAGAAAGTTAAAGAAAGAGAAAGGGAGAGACCGAGGGTGAGAGCTTTGACAATGCTGGTTCGTCGTCCCAAGAAATCCTGGAAGACCTTCTTCACCGTCGAAGCTCCTTCTTCCATGGCGGTTCTGTTTCTGCGCGCGTTTTTCGAATTTGAATTTAGTGGCTAAATAACCTGAAGAAGTGAGTTTGTTCCTTCCTCCTCTTTTAAATTCATTTTCCAATTTTCATAGTTTTTTTATTTTTTCACTTCTAGCATAATTTAAATATGTATTTTTTAAATGTCAAATTTTTTAATTTTTTCAAATATAGCATAAATATGACTCTATTTTAGGTTATATTTGAATTTGAATATAATTTAAATTAGGGTAATTGTGGTGGGTAGCGAAAATATTTCATGTATTTTAAAAAATGTCACCAACTTTTCAAAATTTCAAATATAGCAAAATATTTGAATTTTTATTTTCGGAATTTTTATTATTCCAATTTTACCCTTATGATATCTTATATATATCTATATCGGATAAACATCTAATTTATATCAGATATAGATTTGATGTATGATACTGATGTAAATTTGTATGATATGCATCCAATCTATATCTAATGTATATCCGATGTAACTCTAATATACTTTCGATATACATTCGATGTAACCCTCATTCAACTGATATACATTATTAGATATACCACCGATACACATCAATTGTACGTATTATACATCTAATATATATATCTGATGTATTTCTAATTTATGATATACTAAATATATTTCAAATCTTTCTTTCGCTGAATCAACAAAGTTAAATTTTTACTTGGTAAAAATATTTTTTGAAAAGAAAGTATTCAAAATTATTATACCACTTTACCCTTTTATATATATACACATATAATAAAAAATGATAGAATAATATTTTTATTGACATTTCTAAAAATTGGAGATCGAAATACCCATAAACCAAACAATTTCGAGATATTTTTATTGAAAAAAAAATTGAAAAATAGGCAACGTATCCAAACGCATTATTTCTCTAGATCTCAACTCAAACATCTCCTAAATAAATAAATTGTTTGTTTGTATAATCTTTTTCAAAAGAGGTATTTCTCAATCAAATTCAACTCTACAAAAACATTAAATTGAGCTTAAAAGGATAACTGCTGCTGATTTCAAATAGATAATATATAAAAACAAAAATTAGCATTTTCATTGGCTTTTTTTGTTTTTTTTTTCTTTTTTCCTTCCAAAATATCATACAACTAAAATTAGTTGGGTGAAATTCAAATAGTACATAAAAAGTGGCACTCTGACTCTGCCATATATCTAGAGCCTAAAAACCAAAATCCCAAAAAAGAAGGAAAAAACAAAACCTCCCGAGGAAAGATTTGATAACTACTATCATCACATTCCACTTGGCCTGATAACTCTCAACTGCAGCCCTGTTCTAGTTCCTGGATATGCCACATTCAATTTGAAGAAGAAGACCAAATCAATATAATTCAAAACCCCCGTTCGAGTCATCTGGTGTCAAATGCTGAAATCAGAATAAGAAACCATCAACAATCAAAGAACGATGAAATACCGAAAGGTGAAACCGCAATAGGTAATCTATGGTTTAGTAATATGTATGAATGGCAAAAGAACAGCAGCACATAATCTCTACAGGATCTCGATTCAAGGCTTATACTCGACGACAACAGAGTCGAGTTATATTCATTACACAAAACATTGGTGAATTGTACAAGTCTTTCTCAGATTCAGAAACGTGGATGAATCTCAAAAGGAAAGAAAAATAGTATGAATTCAACCCGTGGCGTTTCTTGATTATCTAAAATCCTACACTACACCTGATCATAATCGGGTGGTCAGGCCAAGGTACATTTATTCCACAAAAAGTGTTTCGTCATCATGTCAGAAAATTCTATAGGGAATAAATGAGAAATGTTACCATCGTTGACTAATCTATCTAATCAATGTGATTCAACTAGTCCCATCCTGTCTTTCAATTTGTTCCATTTGAATGGCCTATCAGTTATATGTAGAAAAATTCATGGAAAAAACTCTACATTTGATAACTATTTTAAGAATATGAAATCTGCGAACCTTTGTCGTCTCCTGATGATTCACTTTCTCTATTCTCCGGTACGTGCTGATTAAAAAACTGTTGAATTGTTCTCCAATAATCGTCGCCACCAGCTAGCCAAGTGTCCATATGCATGCCAGAGGGAAATTCAACAAAGAGACAACGGCCGTTGTGAGCAGCTGCTTTGGCATACAGCATCTGCATGTGGACTGGGGGAACCATCTCATCTTGTAATCCAGATAAGAAAAGGATTGGCCGCTTAATCTGCAGTGAAGATTTCAAAGAGTGCTAATTACAACTGAAACAAGCAAATAATGTCAAAAAGATTAATCAGAGTGCATTTTTCAAAAATTTGTTCTGAAACACTATTTCCCGTGTTTCGAAATAGTTTGTCCCAACCTTTCCAACTACGTCAATGGTACTCCATGGAGAACGCACAAGAAAATTGAGAACCTTGGGACCTTTTGATCCAGGGCCTCCAATAAACCACTTTAGAAAGGGTAGCAAAACTCCAGCCATATCCAAAATAGATGTAAAAGTATTTTCCAATATCAGTGCAGCAACCTGCAATTCAGGATCCAATAAAAAAGCTACAAAGTCCAAAATAAAAAGCACAAAAAGCTCAAAACATTTCGAAACAAATGAAGATCAATTCAAAATATTCTAATGAGTAAACAATCAACTGCTGGACAATGAACATTTTGATTCCAAAAAGTCATAGGAAATCTCTAAGCAGCAGCTGTCAAAAGTCAACCCTAGCCCTCCTCGCAATACCTTGTTGGGGTTATTATTGGTAAGGACTGCTCCAACTGCACCCCCGAGCGACCTTCCAAACACTATTATTCTAGATGTGTCAATATCCGTCCTTTGAGAAAGATGATCCAGTGCAGCCTACTCAAGTAAAACAAAACCATACTGTTTTCAAGTACTCTTTTTGGAAGAAAACATATTATAAAAAAGAATTAGAACCAATGAACACCTGAGCATCTCTTATAATTCCATGCTGAGAAGGATAACCATCACTTGCTCCATAACTGCTTGAGGTCATATGGCATCAGTGACCGTTCCATTTAAGTAGCAGCAATATATACCAATGAACATATTGCTGCTGAAATATATTAAAAGACAAATGGAAATACGAGCCACATTTAAGAAAAAATTACATACCCTCTATATGAAAGCATGAAAACATTGCATTGCAACCTCTGTATCATGATACGGACCATTTCAAGACGATGGGCAATGTCTAGAGCAGGAAGTCAAGGTCAAAAAATAGCTATTGAACCCCAAGAACCATCAACATATCAGTAGTTTACATAGACAAATTAATTTTTAAAATAATAATAATAATAATTAAGAGCTGAGATATCACACATGCATCATGAACAAAATTATAATCTAAGAAGTATATATATTTAAACAAACTGGTAAATGCAGTTAAACGAAAAATTTCTCATGTCTAATTTTCATAAAGATGACGATGGTAATCAGGATACTTCCAGCATTTTCTTGGAAAAAAAGGATGGTGGGACCTGCAAACCAGTAGCACCACGTTGTAAGCCTTGAGAAGTAACCTCACATTAAGGTAAATAGGTAAGCCCAAAGGAGGAAAAGAAAAGAAAGAGGTGGAGCAACATAACTTATGCTGTCGGAGGGGGAAAAACAGATACATATACAGTTAAAATAACCAAGAACATTGTCAAAAAAAGAATATGAAAGAAGAAAATCCCCATAGTTAATTACATGAATCAATGACAAGCATTTAGGAGTTCTATTGAGCAACCCAAGAAAAATTTTCCTCAAGTTCAATACATGCCTACTGTTAACTTGTAGAACTGTTCTTTTCCAACTTTATCAAACCTTTGATTCAAATCAACTACAACCACTTACAGCCTAAAAAATGCATTGGTCAGATATTAAAGCTTGCATCAGTCTGTAATCACTATGACTGATGGAAATTTAACAAGAAGTTAGAACCTGCAAGGAAAATTCTCTATTTCTTGAATCAAAATAAGCCCCAATTTTCTTAGGGGCAAATCAAAATGAGGCAATTGAGCATCCAGATTCCTCCGTTAATTTCTTCACATTCGTTAATTCCACAAATATAACAACAAAAATGATGAAGTTAGAGACATGTTCCATAGCGTCAATTTTCCTGGTACCCCCGCCATTCAACAATTAGATCAATTTCACCACTGCCCATCTGAACCCAGCATGTTATACCGAGAAACATGGATACTAAGTTTTGTATTCAATCAGTAACTTGCTTTCTCTATCAAAAGATTTGAGAGACTTTTACATTCCCAAGGACAAATCATGAACAACAAAGCCAGCTATCCAACAGTCTCAAGCACCCTCAAAAAATTCCAATAAACAAGTACAAACAACATCATCTCATCCCAACACCCAGACATCTACATTCTCAATTATCCTTAATTCCCATAAAACAAATGGATCCTCAATAAATTTCGAGTTAAACTTACTTAACACCGATTTGATCAACTGAGAATCCCAACTTATGTGCCAAGAAATGATCAATAGAGCATTCCAACAAATTCAAGCTTCCAGCGCCCTTTCCTCCACTATAAAACCAATTTCTCCGGAAGAGAAATATAACTAATCAAACAAACCCAACCACAAAATAAAAATAAGATCCGCTAGTCCCAGGTCCATGAATCAGCTCAGTGTGACAAGAAACAGAACACAACCACATCAGCTAAACCCTACTCGCAAATCCATCAAAATTCAAGCACGAAAAATGAACACACCCGAGAGTAAAAGAAAGAGAAGGATCAAACCTCGGCAATCGGGGAAGAGTCTGATGAACCAGGAGTGAAGGCGGACTCCATCGGAAGATCGAAGCCACACATCCTCATAAACAAGTCGAAGCCGAGATGGGTTAATGGTGTAGGATTTAGTAAGACCCGGAAGAACTGGCACATAGACCAGCCTCTCCTGGAAGGCGACAAGCAACGCCATTCCGGCGACCACCAAGCCCCCAACGCCGTAGAACAACGCGCTCACGTAAGAAACCATAGTCGATCTCCGTGGGGCGTTCGGGTTTCCAAGGTTTTCCCTCTGGAAGGAGCGAGATTTGAAATTTTCAGGGTCGGTTGGCAATAGCAATGGTAATGGGGAAACTCGTGAGCAATCAGATTTGGCGAGGAGAGGAGAGGTAGGGCCTCAAAAAGGGAGGAATTGGAATTGGGTGTGAAATTGGGAGTTATATTTACCTTGGGTTGGTGCTTAATTTCCCGTTTGGGTTACAGAGAATCCATGCCTCTCGCACAGTGACATCGCCACTCCAATGGCTATGGCTGGCTATGGCGCTGAGTCTCAGTCTGGACCACGCTCTACACAAAAAAGGGGACTCTGATTGCGTGGCCGACCCTCCTTCTGATCCTTTTTTCCCCTCTTCTTCCCTTTCTTTCCCTCTCCACAACCAACACACAACAAAAAAGGTATAAGATATTTTCATCTATGACCAACTTGTTTTGTATTGTAGTTTTGGTGCCTAAATATAAATATTTGCTTTGAAACATATGCATTTTATTTGCAATGGCTCAATCATGAGATATTATGATAGTTTTGCTCTTTGCCAAATAGATATTATTGTCCATCTGAAAAGATAGTTCAATAAATAAGACACTTATTTCTGTATTAAAGAATAAAGATTGATTTTCTAATCTCTCATTTGTTGAACTAAAAAAAGAAGTATTCCTAAGTGTTTTTTTTTTTTTAGTTTTTTGGCAAAGGTTAGATATATTGTAATGAAAAAAATCTCAGAGCATGAAATCCAGCCAACCAAATTCAAAACACAAGCATAAACAACCTAAACTAGAAAGACAAGATAATCCAATTATAAAAATAAATCTCAACCAAACAAAAAAAAAAAATCGAGATCTAATCTCACAAATTATAGTCTCATTTTAGTCCATACTTATGGTACTTTTGACTTGCATGTGTAAAGATTATTTGTGCGTTATCTTCACCAAATAAAAAATCATACATCTTAGAAAATGGTATATTTATGTTTTTAATATATTGTATTTACGGCCAACCAACATAGCGCTGACATATAAGTTGTAACTTAAATACTATTTTAGTGATTGTACTTTCATATTTGACTCATTTTGATTTTAATACTTTCAAAATGCCATTTTGATCTTTATATTTTAAATTTTTATTTATTTTAGTCATTGCACTCTCAAAATGTTCATTTTTATCTTTATATTTTTAGAAGGGACAATTTTGGCCTCTTAATTTTTATCACATTTTTTTCTATCATAATTTTAGCATGACATTACTCACTAAATTTCTTGGAATGTAACCATCCATTTGTATTAAATAATTCTCAATGTGTATAAATTTTATGTTAAAATTTTTCAAATACATATCAAATTGGTCCAAAGTACCAAACACGATACCAAAATAAAATTTTGAAAATATAGAAACAAAAATGAACCAAATTTAAGATTAGACAAATTAGAACAAAAAATAGAATACTATTTAAACTTAAATAACTTACTTTGAACTTTTCTTTTTATGGAAGCATGGTCGAAACAATTAAATTTAGGATGAACAGACCTTGAACAGTTGAAATTTATTCCTTAGGTCATCAATAGGTTCCACAAAGTGGGGAAAGAAGGCATATGGAAAGAGAAAAAAATTTATTACCATATTATTGTACTTTGTGTACTAAAAAGAGCTGCTTTGAATAACCTTCAAACTGATTAAGACCCCTTTTGTTCATAGTAAAACTAATAAATTGTGGTCTATAAATATCCATACTTATTTCCATACCTAAATTTTTATAATATATATATTTCAATTCTCAAACTTTGCATAAAAAATTATTTTGATCATTATAATTAAATTTTAGATAAAATACACTCTTTAGTCTCGATAGATTTTTATTTGGTCATGTATTTCAAAAATATAGTTTAGTCTCCAACCTTTAAAATATTGTTATAAAATGTCTTGGAGTCAAATTATAATTAGTGTCCATGTGTCACAAATGTAATGTTGTCGTGAGAGTTTAATGGACCGAGTGACATTTGCCGGTGTGTTAATTTTAGATGGTGTGGCATTTAGGTTTAAAAAAACAAAAAAGAAAAAAAAAAGGACGAAAAGACTAAGAATTTCTAAGGAAGGTCATCGTCAATGACCATCTGAGTTAAGATGACCATCGTCATTTGAGCTAGGAAAACCCTGTAATCCGATGATCGTTGCTACCTACAGACCACATCAGTAAATGTGAATTTCTTGAGTGACATTAACAACAACTTGACTCTAGTGATTTTTTAGAACCATTTCCTAAAATTTGGAGACTAAACGGTCAATTAAAAGAAAAATTAGGACCAAATAAAAATAATTTCCTCAAAATCAAAAATATATTTTACCCTTAAATTTTTATAGTTTTATAGAAATTTAATATTCACGGCCTTTTGTTCGTTTATCTTATTGGTAAATATCTATGTGAAAAGGTACTTAGAGTCACATGTAATTGATTAGTGTAAGAATTTCAAAATATATTTGGATTTTCTATAAACGGCTAACAAAAATCAGCAACAATTACTAAATTAGCTTTTTAATCAAATTTCAAAGATTAAATTAATGATGAAGTAGAAGATTTGAAAGTTGTAGTATGAACCCAAACGAAAAAGAATAAGCATTTAAATTTGATAAAGTAAATAAATTTTATATGATAATGTTTTTTTTTCTTTTCCTTTTTCTACTATTCATGGAAAGAAAAGTATCACCAATAATAAAATAAATAATAGCTAGATTGGCAGATTTTTCACCTTTTGATCTGTCTCAGACATGAGACAACCAAGCGGGCAAAAAGCAAGCAATGGAATCAATACAATTTTAAGAAAAGGGAAAATTAATGAGGGTTCAGAAAATCTTCCCAAACAAATTAATTAAAAAAAAAAAGGTAGAGAAAGGTTTTTTTTTCTTTTTTTTTTTCCTTAAAGAACTCGTGAGTTGAGGGTAGGATGTTACTTTTACCGGGTGAAATCTCCGTTTAGACTCCCTGTCGAGAGGGAACGAGAAACGTTGTCTCCGTCACCTAAACGGGGACATGGAAGTTCCCATGTGAAAAAAGTAATTGGTAACCATGCTAGTGTACCTTTATATCACAGAACTAGCTAGTTAAGCTTAAAAGCGACATACACCAAATATATAGTCACTATAGAATTACAAATTTGAAATGAATTAAACATATTAGTTTGACCTAAAAATGGTTTAATTGCTTGAGACATATCTCTTAAGCTAAAAAGTTGGAAGTTTCAATCTAGCAATAACTAAACGGAAGCTGAAGTGTAACTCCCCGGGCCCGCAACTAGGAGGTCACCTAGTTGAAGATTGCTCCAAGTCAAACACGCTTAATTTTGGAGTTCTTATGATTGAGTTACCGAAAAGGAAAGTGCACCTTATTAGTATATGCAGTGACTATCATTTCTTTTTAAACTTTCTTAACTATGGTTCTATGGTCTTAGGATCCCTCTTATTCGTATGTGATATCGTTTATTCATGTATCCCTCCTATTTACTCGGACGTTACAATATAGGTCCCGAACTATTTTATTCTCAAATTAATATCGAGACTCGTGCGTAACTTGAGAATCAATTTACCCTAAGTATTTATAGGCAGCTAACGACTAGATTTACCTACAATCTCTCATTCAAAATAGTGCGAAGTGGTGRCAAGTGAGCGATTAGGGCATATATGTCCAAACTCCTCATCGCATAACTTCCTAAATCAACCGATTCGCTATGAGTGGTGGTCGTCGAGTTCCGAATTTTTGGATTAGACTTCCGCGCCGGCTTCAACGAGGGACACGTGGCGACATCTTTTCCATTCCCTAACAATGAACAATCTTAAGAATCAATTCCTCGAATCACCACACTAAGTTCGAACGGTAATAATAAATTTAATAAAAAAATGCATGAAAATACTCTAATATTTTAGCATTACAAAATTTCAGCATAATTAATGTACTTGTGCTCCCATAATTTTATTATTTATTTGGAGCAATTATGCTCCCAAGTCAAACTCAAAAGGCCCAATTTGATTCACCATATTGGGCCCAAACTTCAACAAGCTGATTTACACGGCCCATTCGAACAAAAACGAAACTAGAAGGAAGATGGAGTGCGGCCCACCATTCCGACTCCCCTTCGCTGAGGTGTAAATTTTAGATATTTTTTTTTTCTTTTCCATTTCCTTAATATTCCATTATTCGTTGCAATACCGCGTAAAAGTTTCTTTCTGAGAAGACCAGAGGAAAAGGCTTCGGAAGCAAAGCAGAATCCATTTTCAAGCCACCGTAATTTACAGGCACATCAATAAAAACCCACACGATTGATCGGATCCGCTCAATTGAGAAATTGAGATATTCGTAATTCCGCCGTTTCAATTCAGTGTTTCTTTGTACAATCCGATCAGCCGCGATGAGTTTTCTCTTCGGCAAGCGCAAAACTCCAGCAGGTATTGTTGTCGATCAGAATTTTTCTCTTCTGATCACTTCTTCCTTTTATTTTACTCATTTCTCGCGGAATTGTTTGATTTTGTTGCATGTACTGGCTCCGGTTATTAGTTTTTATTCTTGGAGTTTCCGGTTTAATTCAGTTGATACACAGTCAATGTGAGATGTTGATTCCTCAACAGAATCATGTTTTGATTTCTAGATATTGGACCTATTTAATTTTGGATTGTTGATTGTTTTTTAAGAGATGCCTTGTTAATGATTGGTGATCGGAATTTGAGCTTCATTGTTGATTGGACATGATGAGTTAAAGGTGTTTACACCTTTTATTTTGTTTGATTTATTGTTCTTCATCTGTCTTCAACTGATCTTTTGACTGCATCAAGCTTCAAGCATCAGGGCTTCATTTTAGCTTTTCAGTTTTAACTCTTAGAATTAGTAATGACTTAATATGATATAAAGCTAGAGATACTAAGTTCGCATCCCAATATTGTTATTTCTTCTTATTCCAATATCTATAGTTCACTTATTAAATTAAATATAAAACCAAGCCCACATGTAAGGAGTTCTAAGAATTAATATATGTACACCCTAGTCTACTAATTAAAGATACTGTGTCTTTGGTATTGATTTAGCACTATGAATGGTTAATATAACATACATTTGCAGTAATGAAACTATTTGTTGTAGTAGCAAAATCTTATAGCATCTGATGTTGTGTACATTATTGTCAATCCAGAACTCCTCCGGGAAAATAAGAGGATGCTGGACAAGTCGATCAGAGAAATTGAAAGGGAAAGACAAAGTCTTCAAACACAAGAGAAGAAACTAATTGCAGAGATTAAGAAAAGTGCCAAGCAAGGGCAAATGGTGTGTGTTCTTTTATTTTGCCTATCTTTAGATCATATTTTCTTTTATGAAATAGCATTTCTATTGCGATTCCTTACTTGTAATCGCTACGATTCTCTGAAGCTGGGACAGTTGGGTTGGTCCATCATGGTGAGAAGGGGAAGTATTTCATGAATTATTAATATTTGAAAGAATCTCTTAGATGTGCATATATCACCTGATTATTGTTGGATGCATTCGGCATACATTTTCTTAGCCCTTCTATTCATCAATAAATTTTCTTTTGGTGGTGAATGTCATATATGGGAGTGTCAAAGTTAGAATATTTAATGGGAAAAATAGAAAACCATTGCAACAAGCTTCTTATGCTTTACATTTGTGTTTTTAGAATTGACTTCTCACTCCGATCTGAAGATGTGTTTCTGTTGCAGGGCGCTGTGAAAGTAATGGCAAAAGATCTTGTTAGAACCAGGCACCAGATTGAAAAGTTCTACAAGCTTAAATCACAACTTCAGGGCGTATCTCTTAGAATTCAGGTATATTTTGTTTCATGACTGGTTTCTTTGGTACTTCTCAGTCATTGCAAGTTATTTTATTCTTTATCGTCAACTTCCATTTGTGCAAGAGCATGCTGATCCTACGTGCAATAAATCAGTAATGGTGAAATGACATGTCGTATTTTGTACAGCATTTTACATATCACGAGGAGTAGTGGCCTTCTTCAAAATAACTTAATGTTTATGTTTCCACATTGTTAGACTTTGAAGTCAACCCAAGCAATGGGAGAAGCGATGAAAGGTGTGACAAAGGCAATGGGACAAATGAATAGGCAGATGAACTTGCCATCCCTGCAGAAAATTATGCAAGAATTCATGAAACAGAATGAAAGAATGGAACTGATGACTGAAGTTATGGAAGACGCAATTGATGATGCTTTGGAAGGAGATGAGGAAGAGGAAGAGACAGAAGAATTGGTCAGCCAGGTTCTTGATGAGATAGGAATTGACATGAACCAAGAGGTAGCTTCATTTCCTTTTCTGATGCAATGTATAACCTCACCCTAAATGAAGACTGATTAAACCATGTTCCTATTTTTTTAACTATTTTCCCCCACAGCTCGTGAATGCACCTTCGACTACTGTCACTGCACCAGCAGCAAAGACAAAAGTCGCACAAGCTGAAGCAACAGGGAACGATGATGGAGGAATAGACAGCGATCTTCAAGCCAGACTAGACAACTTGAGGAAAATGTGAAATGTGAATGTGATCTTCATTTCTTTTGTGTATATTGAATCATTGATATCGTCCATCCTGACTACATCAAGGAAGGACCATTTACGCCACTGCCATGATATATACTTCATAAATTTATGCCATTATTTCTTGACCTTGTTTGGGTATGCAAAAAGAAGCGGTGTCTTGTATTGTATATACTCATATATTGGTCCTTTTTTACAGGTTCAAAACGGGAAAATATTTTCAAAAGAAAGGTTCGATTATTATTCTGGTCTCTCTTAGTTTAGCTCGAATTTACATAGAAGTTTCAATTTAGTCTCTATAGTTTAGTTTAGTTTAGATCGTTCAGAATGTCTGTTTTCTTGAACGTGGTGATAATTGTAAAATTATGATAGCTATATTGCATAATAGAGAGATTGGCCGTCTAATCACAGGGCCTACAGAACAAAAACACCACAATTTATCCTCCTCATCCCTTGGACCACCAAAGAACATGATTACACACAAGAGAATCAGAATTTTCCAAATCCAACCACCCATTTCAATTTATAAACAACCACCCTTTTTTTTCTTCTTAATATTTAAACCAAGCCGCCGGATTCCAACAACCCATGTCCTGAATTTTCTGGTTGCTCCGCCGCCGTGTGGTGCTGACACAGCCCCGGTGCGAGCGCCACCGGCGCACGGCAGAGGGGGCAATCGGAGTGAGAGTAAAGCCACATGTCTATGCAGGGGGCGTGGAACATGTGGGTGCACCTCGGCAGTTTCTTCACCTCTTCCCCATCCTCAAACGCCGACAAACAAACCGCACATTCTAGCCCATTTCCTTCTTCTTCCGCCGTCGCCGCCGCCGCCTTGGTTCCCTTCTTAAACCTGAAGCTGGACAGCAAATTCCTGCTCGAGCTCTGGAAGCTGCCGCTTGAACTCATCATCTCCGCATAACTTCTGGCCATCCCCGGCGATCCTCGGCCACGGCGGTCGGAGCACCACCTGATTACGATGAAATTATAAACCACCAGTACAATCGCCGCCGTCCCGACGACGACGAGGCCGTAATACAACATGGGCAAGCTTGACTTTGCAGGGTGGGGCGTTGGCTGAGTAAAAGGGGTTGAAGAAGAATAAGAATCAACCATTTTTGGATTCCACGGCGGGGAAGAAGAAGAAGAAGAAAGAAAGAAATTTCACAGAGCTCTGTTTTGTGGGAGTTTTGGGGAAGAAGAATAATCATATTGAACTGAAATTAATATTTGGAAGTTTCAAGTCAAAGAAAGGAGAAGAAATTATTTTTGTGGGGGAAGGGATTTTAATTCATTGAACGAGATAAACTGTAAAGCTCCAAAGAATGAAGACAAAACAGAGCTCAATCAGAAGACAGAGAAACAAAATTGATGATAAGAACACATAATTTCTTTTCTCTCTCTCTCTTTCTCTAAAATAAAGACATTGGATTGTTTTGAATGTAAATCTTCTGGGTCCCAAAACGACAAGTGGTAGAAACTGAGAGCCCGTGGGAAGTAGAGGAATGTTGTCGTTTTAATGGAGGAAAACAGAGGCGATGGAGAACTTTAATTTATAAAGAGAATGTGGCGTATAAAGTGGCTATTTGGTTCAGTGTAATTAAATGCTCTGGTTTCAGGACGACATGTCGTAGAAGGAGGGAGATGGAGAAGAAGAAGAGAGGTCAACGTGGCCTTGAACCCACTCTAAAATGTCGTGTCGTTCGGTCGAAGACGACATGACCGGCCAGCTTCAGTTCCAATTGGGTGATATCTTAATCACCAGAAGTTGACTATTAAACTACTTTTAATTAAATTAAAACTGCACTAATCTTCTTACTTAACTATCAACAGAGATGACAAATAACAGTTGATACTGTTATTCTAACGGTTAGACTTTTCTTAGATACAAATTCTCTCTCTCTAATTTTTGTGTTACATAGACAAAAAGAAGGGAAAAAATAGACAAGAGTTGAAAAGTCCCTTACCGATCAATTAATACATAAATGATAGAAAATTTTCAGATCAAAATCTTACTTTCTTTCGGTCTCTTTACTTAGACTTTGTCGAAGGGGAGTACAAAATTATCCGAACCTTTGTTTTTTAGTTATGTTTAAGTGTGACAAGAATATATTCTACAACGAGCAATTGTTCATTTATTTTCAAACAGACCCATTTACTATCTATTATTTGATTGACTATGTTTTTATATTGCAATGGTCGAAGAATCAAATATTTTTGTAACTTTTAAGATGATGAATCAAGATAAAGATAGTTTTGAATCAGTATTCACGATTTTTTTCATCCTTTGCTATAATAATATTTCGGGATTTGTAACGATAACTTGGTATATCTACTATAGAACCATTAACTAAAATATATCTATGATTAACTAATTGGCCATCATTAAGACGTATATTTTCAATCAAAATGTTAGTATTTCTTTCAGAAATCAAGGGGGAAAAAACAAAAAAAAAAAAAACAAGAAACAAAAATGTGTGGGAGAGGTATTAGATTTTTTAAAGGCAATATCCGTTTTTCCCCCTTAATTTGACAATTGAAGATGTAGATTCCAAACATTTAACCTTTTCATGTATATGTAAAATATTTGACAAAGTTACGGCTTAATTTAAAAATAATATATCATTTAGGCTAAATATTTGTCATTGTTACTCATATTTGAGAATGTTTTTCCAATTTATTCTCAAATGTTTTAATATTTTTCAAATTTAGTCTCTCACTATCGATGAATGTTAAATTTTATTGATGATAGGCTTATATAGGATATAATACTTAGTGAATTAGTAGAAATTTAGAGAAGAAAACAATTATGAAGAGATGAAAATTCGAAATTTCTATCCATTCTTTAGAAATTTATTATCATCCAATTTTAACATTCACGTGGCTAGAGACTAATAAATTGAAAAAAAAAATTACTAATTATCAAAAGTACACTCAACTATTAAGATATATATCATAACCAAACGATTAGAAGTTTGAATCGTGTAGTTACAACTCAACCCCAAAGTCCATAACTAAGGCCATTGTGAATCGGGCGGCCGCTTTTGTGTCTGAATTTCGGAAGGCTATTTCTCGTCCGCTTGAGGATGTATCTGTAACACCCGAATTGCTTCCGGAGGTTTGGGTTCCTCCTTCGGCGGGCTTGTTTAAGGTTGATGCTGCTTTGGATTTCGAGCGTCTGTGGCTGGTTTAGGTGTAGTTATTAGAGATTGTAATGGGCATGTGATGCTTTTGGCTTCTTCATATGTAGCATATGTGGTAGGTGTTGATCTGGCAGAGGATATGGCGGTGAACTTTGGAATTCGACTAGCTCGGGAGATGGCTTTGTTTCCGTGTGTTTTGGAAATGGATTCATACCGTATCTCCAACCTATTGCAATTTGAAACTCATGATATTTTTGAGGTTGGTCATTTTGTTGCGATGATAAAGGCTATGGAGTTGAAGGAGGTGGTGGTGTCTACCAGTTTTGTCAAGAGGAGAGGGAATGAGGTGGCTCACAAGATAGTTAAAAGAGGTTTGAAGTCTGGTGCTGATTCCATCTGGTTGGAGGAACGGCCCCTTATTTTTAATTCTATGTTTTCTGTTGCTATGTTTGTATTGTTTCAAAAAAAAAAATGGTTAGAGTTATCTTAATAATTCTCTCGTCTAATCTCTCGTTTTTATCATGTTTGTTTCTTCTTGAAGAATGAATTCGATTATTATTTATCATCACAATTGTCCATATATTCTAGGAACTTAAAAAACAAAAACAATGATAATTTAATTGAAATAAAAAATATATTATTTTGGTTCTAAGTTTGAAATTTAAATCGAAGATTTCAAAGTTTAAAACCTAACCACATAATATAAAGACAAAAGAAAAAAAATACTTTAACTAAAATAAATAACTAAATAACATATATATATATTACAATTATAGAGTATCTCGATGGTCCAAACAAATAGTTAGCAATTATTATTTTTATTATTTCAAATTTGAAATGTTTCATACATTCAAATTATAAAATTTTATGGGAAAATCATTTTAAGAATTTACAAATTCTTTTCCTCATACTGTTAGAGGGCTGGGCCTGAGTTGAAAATCTTTGGGCTGGGTGGGCTTGGGTTTGGGCTTGGAAATAATTTACAGTTTGAACCATAAAAATGATCAGGCCATTCAACTAAAACACCAAACCAACACAGTTAATTATGATTGGAGAATAATATTATAATAAAACAAATATTCATTATTCTGCCATTAAACCCAACCACCTTAACACTTGCTCTAACAGATCACTTCTTTTTTTTTTTTTACCTCATTATAAATCCAGAAAAAATCTCCCCTTTTTTAATTCTCACACTGTTTGATTAACATTTTGCAAAAATTTACGAAGCTGGTCGCCTCCAGAAAATTACCATCAAATTTCACAAGGTAAATAATCACCATCCTTAACCTTCTATTCTCTTGCTACATTTATTATCTTTTGAGTTTTTATTACAACTTTATTCGTCTTAAACAAATTTGCTCGTAAAACTTTTAGAATTGTGTTTGATAGGTTTCGTAGTTTAAAAAGTGCATACTAAGTTCTTAAGGTCATGTTGGACAAGATTTTTACGACATTTCTGTTAGATATCCTACCTGTGAATTAAATTTAACTCACCAAAGCTTAACTTTTTGGGTTTATTGGTGGTTTATTCAGTTTTAAAATGGTATTAGAGTTAAAAAGCTCAAACAAGCGTCCAGTCTAAAAATGGAATTCGGCCAAAATTGGTGAACGCAAAAGAGACATCATCTTGAATGGACAATATCTCACATTTAAACGATAAAGGACCTAACAAAGGTTTACAGTATAAACGAGCTACTTTTCGTGTTACCAATTGATTTTGAGATTGAACCCATGAATATTGATATGTTCTATTTCTTGTTTCTCATTCCATCTTTTTCAATCTAGAAAAATATAATTGTGATTGAGAATTACTACTCGAATAAAAACAAAAATATGGTAACCATTTATGGTTTATTGTTCACTAAAATATTAAATAAAAAATAAGTAAAATTTTATATGAAAATTAATTTTAAAATTAAATGTTCAAAATTTTTATGTTATATTTGGCATTTGATATTTATGTTGTAGTTTATAAGTAAACAATGAAAAAATGATATTCTTTATCTATGTTTTGAAAAAAAAAATGGAAAACTATAAACAAAATAATAAACAAAAAAATTGATTTCTTTGTTTTAAGAATTTTTACATAATTTTGGAAAAGTTTCTTAGTAATTATCAAATCCTTATGTTTCTAAAAGAAATAAAATCGATAAACAAGAAACATGAAATAAGAACATAGGCTTCCAATTCTGTGTTGAATAAGCCTTTAAATTTAACTTTCAATCTTGTATAAAGTCCATGAACTTTTAATTTTGTGTCAATAGATCCATACCTTATTCGATATTTTCTAAGATTTATGAACCTATTAGACCATTGTCTATCGAGACTCTTGCATTTTAATATTGTGTTTAATAACTAAAACGAACATAGCTCAACAGTAATTGATATATATATTTAATCAAGAAGCTGTTAATTCAATCATTCACCCAAAAAAAAATTATATTTAATAAATCCATAAGAGGAGATACTAGGAAAAAATGAAAGCTCAACCATAGATAAAACACTTTAAAAAAAAATTTATTTAATTATTTTTTTTCCTTAAGTTATGGTAACAAAATTTATTATATTTATGGAAAAGGGAACACCTTTCAATGATGGATTAGGTAGACTTTGAAGATTGATATGCATCTTTTGAGAGCATTATTATATCAATAAACTAATTAAAACTAGGAACGACATTATAATTAGGACACCACGTGTGTTCTTATTTATTTTTTTTAAATAAAAATTGCTTTGCTGGATTGCAAAACAAGAGGCCCAATTCCACGTCAGTATATTTTTCAAAAAAAATATTATAAAAATAAAAATCGAGGTAGTCATACTAAAAGTACTTTTGGAAGGAGGGAAAAAAACCTTAGCTTTTTATTACTTTTTGAACAATTATTTGGTTAGTATTTTTTGAATTGTTTTAGTTGAGAAATAAACTTTTTTTTAAATTTCAACAACACCTAAGATCTTTTATATGATATATGTTATATTTATATTGATAAAATTAATAAACATTTAAATATCGAGGAATCAAATAGGATCCTCAATGAGATTATTATTATTTAATTTTCAATAGAGAGTGAGATAAGTCTTTTGAGACCCATTCTTGAAAAATAAAAATAAAAAACTTGCACCTTAAAAGTATATCATTATTATTTTTTTGAAAAAAATACTATTAACAAAACAAAAAGATAATTATGTCTATGTCACGGGAAAAATATCTTATTAAATGAGACCTGCACAAAAAATCATTCATATTAATCGTTTGGTGTCTATTAAAAAACAAATATTTGACAGCTATTTATATTTCTTGTTTTTAGAAACATTATCAAAATTATATAGAAATTAAAAAATATATTATTTTATTTTTTCATTTCCAACCAACTCAAAGTTTCTTTATTTTCTAATAAAAAAATGAAAAACAACCTGCCATCAAAATAGGTATATATATTTCTTTGTTTATTATCTCTCTCATATATCCAAAGGCGGTCAGCTATATCTCGGTCATCTGCCCGAGTTATTATTTAAATATAATTAAACCCGGGAATTGGAAACGCGAAGGAAGCCATTGCGAACTTTGATGTTCGTCTGTGTCAAGTAGTAGCGGCGCCCTCTGTTCCCCATTTCTACTCTGTTTTCTGCACCGTCTCCTTCTTCTCTTCTTCTAATTTGCTTTTTCTTCGCCATTTTTCTCTCTCGTTGTCTGAAAGCAATGGAAATCCGCCACTCTTATTGACCCAATTTGGTTCTCTCTCTCTTTGTTTCCTCCGAGGCATTTTCAGGGCTCAATAACCGCTGCAATTGCAAACTCTGAATCTGAGAGCTTCTTCTTTTTTTTTTCCCAGGTTTGAGAATCCCCTTTCTCTCACGCATCTACTGTCTCTGCTTCATTTCAACTCTGCTACTGCTTCTGTTACATTTACGGTTTTGGATTTGCAATGTTCTCGATTGGTTCTTAATAGGGTTTTGTGGTTCTACTGACTGTTATGCGAGTAAGAGGTTGAAAGTAGAAAATGGCGGATAAGGAAGGAACGGAACAGGTTGTTTTACGGATTTTGGACTCCGAAGGAGCGGTTGATGGAACTAAAGATCACACTAAACGCTCTGTTGCTTCCCATCCTGATTTTGAGCTTAAGGAAACTCGGAGTATTAGGTGCACAATACCGCAGTCTGGGGTTGGGAGCTCTCCTTCGCCGGAGATTGCCAGAATGAGTCCCCTTAAACCTCCAAAAATTCCAGTCGAATCGACAGTTCGGCGCCCATCATTTGCTCGTTCGTCATTTTCCAAGCCTAAATCAAGACTAGTAGAGCCGCCTTGTCCCGGTGGTGCAAATTTGGCAGAAGATAAGGCCCAAGCGAAATCAACATCTGGTTCACCGTACAATAACTCCCCTGCTAAGATTACCACCGCCACTAGTCCTCGAGATGCTTTGAAGTCGGCCCCGATAACTCCCAAGACTCCATTGATTGGATCTATTGGAAGTGAGGAGGAAGATGATGAAGAGGTTTACAAAACTGCAGAATTGAAGGTGAAAGAGAGATCAGGGAGAAAGTTGAAAATCACCATCTTGATCGAATGGGTTGCTTTTTTGTGCATAACAGGGTGTTTCATTGCTAGCTTAACGATACACAAGTTGCAGACTACAGAGATCTGGGGATTGGGACTGTGGCAATGGTGTGTGCTGGTATTAGTAATTTTCTGTGGTCGTTTATTTTCGCAATGGTTTATCAATTGTCTGGTTTTCTTGATTGAAAGAAACTTTCTACTCAGAAGAAAGGTTCTTTATTTTGTCTATGGGCTGAGGAAGAGTGTTATAATTTTTATTTGGTTGGCCTTGGTTCTTCTGGCATGGGGTCTATTATTTGATCATAGCAGAAAGAGATCTAAGAAAGCCAATGATATTCTGAATTATGTTACACGAGCTCTTGCTGCATCTCTTGCTGGAGCAGGCTTGTGGCTGCTGAAAACTCTGTTGGTGAAGATACTAGCCGCTTCTTTTCAATGCACTCGGTTCTTCGATCGGATTCAAGAATCGATCTTCCATCAGTATATCCTGCGCACTCTATCAGGACCCCCACTGATAGAGATGGCAGAGAGGGTTGGGAGAACAGCAAGCACAGGGCAATTGAGTTTCAGGCATTTGAAGAAACAAAGCGATGGTGGGAACGAAGGGAAGGAAGAGGTGATCGATGTTGATAAGCTCAAAAAGATGAAACAAGAGAAAATCTCTGCTTGGACCATGAGAGGGCTGATCAATGTTATAAGGAGTTCAGGGCTGTCCACCATCTCTAATACAATAGAGAATTTTAATGAGGAAGAGAGTGAGCAAAAAGATAAGGAGATCAACAGTGAATGGGAGGCAAGGGCTGCAGCTTACCAAATTTTCAGGAATGTGGCGAAACCCGGTAGCAAGTGAGAACTTTACCTTCTGAAAGATCTTCAATTTCCCACTTCATGATATTTGGAGAGTCTTGTTAACTATTGTTTTTCATCTTGCCTATGGTTAGGTATATTGATGAAGAGGACCTCTTTCGTTTTATGAGTAAGGAGGAGGTTGAGAATGTGCTCCCGTTGTTTGAAGGAGCAGTCGAGACCGGAAAAATCAAGCGAAAAACGCTGAAGAATTGGCTGGTAAATCTTTATCACATTTCATTTGTATCCTGTTTCAGTATAATTGTGGTTCTGTATTTGGAGCTACATTTACCCTTGTGTATTCAAGAGCAGTTCTATGAGAACCTCTTGCAGACATGGTCCTTAGAAATTTAGTTTTGATATTGCAGGTGAACGTTTATGTCGAACGCAAGTCGCTCGCCCACTCGTTGAATGACACCAAGACTGCAATAGAGGAGCTAAACAAGCTTGCTTCAGCAGTTGTTCTGATAGTGATTATCATTGTATGGCTGCTTCTGATGGGTCTCTTGACAACGCAAATACTTGTCTTCATTTCATCTCAGCTTCTGCTGGTGGTTTTCATGTTTGGTAACACTGCCAGAACTGTGTTTGAAGCCATCATATTCGTATTTGTGATGCATCCATTCGACGTGGGGGATCGTTGTGTTGTAGATGGTGTACAGGTAACTTTCTCAGCCCAAAAATGTTTTGATTCTATTAGAAAACACACTCACCTTATTTGATTCAAACTTGCAGATGGTTGTGGAAGAGATGAACATTTTGACCACAATTTTCTTGAGATTTGACAATGAGAAGATCTTCTATCCAAATTCAGTTCTCGCCACCAAACCCATCAGCAACTTCTACAGAAGCCCCGAAATGAGCGATTCGATCGAATTCTCTGTCGACTTTTCCACATCAATTGAAAGCATTGGAGCTCTAAAAGCAAGAATAAAATCGTAAGTGTCCTTCAACTTCCCTATACTTATTGGTAAAATGCAGGAAATGACCAGGCCTTCTAGTTTAAAGCTTCTTATAAAGCATCTGCTGAAACTGGCTTTGAGTTGCAATCATGAATCATTTCAAATGGCTGCTCTTTGTAGGCTTGGAAATTTATAGGATATCTAACACTCTCCCACATATACCATATTAAACATGATTAAATTACCAACGAACCCAAAAGTTTAAGCCGATGAGTTAGAGTAAACTTAATCATTTATTGGATATCTAACTGTTGGGTTATATTTATGTATCCATTTGCCTGACAACATGGTATATTTATGTAAATACTCAGATACCTGGAAAGCAAACCGCAGTTCTGGCGGCCGGGCCACAGCGTCGTCGTCAAGGAGATCGAGAACGTTAACAAGATGAAGATGGGTCTATACGTGAATCACACCATAAACTTTCAGAACTACGGCGACAAGAGCAGTCGGAGATCGGATCTAGTGTTGGAGCTGAAGAAAATTTTGGAAGAACTGGGCATCAAGTACCATCTCCTACCTCAAGAAGTGTATCTCAACTCTGTGGGTTCAGCAGCTCCTATGGTGCCCCCATCGCCGAGATGAAATTGAAGAAACATTCTTTCAAGTCACTCATTTTTTTGGGGTCTCATGTTCTGTTGCCTCAGCCTTCTGGTTTTGTCTTTGCTTCAAATGGCTTCAATGGAAACGAGAGGGCTGAAGATGATGTTTGTAATTTGAGCTGTATAAGGGGAAAGGAAATGTATAATATTTAATTAATTGATCTTAGTCAAATTTTAAATTTTGTTAATGGAGCTCTGTTCTAACTGTTTAAATTTTCGTCAATATCTTCATATTTTCATGGATAGATTTCATATTGACATGAAGAGGAACATTTCCATAATATCACAAAAGATTTGACAAAGTATATAAAAATATATATATATTAAAATAATATTAAGATTTTCTTAGTAGAATATGCGGGAGCAAATTTCATAATCTATTATATATCAATTACCATTCTGGCAAAATAATATTAATGCTAATGTTAATAATTTATAACATTTAGTGTGAAAAATCTTTTTATTTAATTTAAATATTTGTAATAATTTTTTCTTTTTTGTAGTAATTTTACTAGAAGTATCCATCCATATTAATATTTTCATAAAATATATAATTGAGACTTCCAACATTTGAGACTTTGTTTCTTAGTAAATTATATCTTTCTTTCAATTTTTTAAGTAACAACGGGTGAATTGGTTTCTAGCTTTCCTAACCATGCTAATTATGAGAGGGAGAAGGATCGTACCCAATTTGTATGTGCATTTTGTTTGTCCTAAACTTGCCTGCTTAGCTTGATATTTAAAATAATTACAAAAATTTACAACTTATATCCTTAATGTTATAGTAGATTGAATGCTCAAGATTCTTCTGGCAATCTCAAGATCTTTTCTCAATTTATGCCGATATAATTCAACAATAAAATAAACAATATCATTTTTTGGGTTAAATCTCTAGTTTAGACTTTAATAAAGACGATCAAATTTGGGATTTAAGTATTTATTTTATTCCTATTATAAGGTTGAAAGTTGGGTTTCTACCATGTTTGTTTAACTTGAACCTGTGTTCCGGCAGGCCTCTGAATTGGGCCTTCCCTCGGGAGAAGGTGGAGGCCCAAAAGTGGAGGGGACCCCACCAGAAATTTCAAAGTTGATGGTGATTGGACCGATAGGATAACGTTATCCACCAATAACGCATAGAGAAGTTGCCACGTAGGACAAAGATGAAATCTCCAATTTCCTCCTCACCCTTTCCCTTGGCCCCACTCTCTCTCTAACCATAATTCAATCCCCTCTCCCTCTCCTCCTCCTTCACATTTCCAGAAATTATCACCACCGCTTTAGCTTCCGAATCTCACACCAAATGGCGT